AAGGGAAGGGGAAGAATTACATCAATAGAAAGAAGGAGTTTCTATTGGTGCACTAAGTTAACATAGTGATACAAATTCTAAACAAAGTTTTAAATTTTTTTCATGTAGTCATCAGTCCAGTATTTATATATCTGCTTTCTTGTTACCTTTGCAAACAGTTCTTTGGGACACAGTTGCTTTGGGCCCAGTCCAAAGGCTATTTGGCCATTTTAACATTCCTAAAGGTTTGAGGATTAACCCGTGTAAGGTAGTTCCTGTGGGAGGGCAGGTCTGACTCCATTTTAAACTCGTTCCATTTATATTATTAGTTACAAGAGCATCAGAGCGGGTGAGGATACCAAGCTCTATGTGCCACTAGCTGTAGGGACCCTTTCTTTGGCCTGGAAGGTATGTGCAACAATTATAGTGTCAGGGGCATTTTTTCTTTCCACAACATGCTCATTGGTCAAACACTAAGTTAGCCATGGCAGACAGAAGTTCTTGAATTTTGCCTAGACCTTTAGGTTAGAGGTTTCTAAAGAGTTTTGCATCTGTGAGAGACCCCAGGGCCAAGGTCAACACTATAAGGTCTGAGGTGTTGGTATGTGTCTCAGAAATTTGAGACTATTTATCACCCTGAGCAATGAAATGAGCTTCTGCAGATTGAGATTGAATCTCTGCAGAGTAGAGAGTAACCTTGATTTCTACTTGTGTAGAAAGTGTGAGACAAGACATTCCCAGAGATTTTTAAGCCACAGGGAGAAACGCTGAATGAGCTGTTAGTCTTGGTGAAATGAGACAACTAGATCATTGTGCTGGTCAAGGAAACTAACAATGTGCAGATTACTTTAATTCTAGGCTGGGGAATTACTGATACTAGCACAATTGCTTGAGGTGTGACTAATTGATCTCATGAGTGAGTCCTGTTTGAACTAGAGACAGAATGCAGCTTCTCTGCAGTAAACTCCATCAGATGTGGTTGCAGCACACTAGTAATAAAAATATGAACCCTCTAGTCATTCATGAGTTCCAAGTGACTCTCCAAGTGGCCAATGTGTCTACAATATGACGTCCTCTAGAATACATTGTGTCAATGAGAGCACAGGAGGACATATTGCCTCCTGTAGTTGGAATATGTGAGAGGCACCATTTTTGTCTATTCTGTAATTACCAGTATCTGTTCAATGACGAGTCCTCTTGGTAAAAAGCTTGAGGGGTCCTGTATTCACGACCCAGGGCAAAATGGAAAGATGGATCGAGATAATATTCTACTCATCTACTAGAGCCCTACGAGGGCCTCCACTGATAGAAAGACTATCAGTTGCTAGCAGTGGCTTCTCTAGTGGTGTGCAGCAGCAGCAGCAGCTGAGGATAGAAGATTTTGGTTGGAGAATGCCTTGGGCAATTTATGTCTACCATGGGTGATTTAGAGACATTTCAATACATAAAACAGGGATGATAAAGCTTCTATGAGTAAACAGTTCTGGGGAAGTAGATGACAATGGAATGATTATTTGACAATTCTTGAACCATTTTTTCCCCAAAGTCAGTCAATTTTTAAGTGTTGGTGAATAAGTAAGCCAGTAGAGCTGATAAATTTGCAAAAGGTGAAATTGCTGTGACCACGGGAAGTGTGCCTATGACATAGGTTCTATATCTGTCTCTGTTACACTCTCAGCTCACAGATGTCTGGTGTTGCCTCAAAGAAAATTTTCACAGTGGGATATGCAGAGATTTCTTAAGTTGTTTCCAAGTAAGCAGGCACAAGTAGGCTGGAGTTGGAAAGAAAAGAGCTGGAAATGTCTATGGAGACAATGGAAGGAAATGATGCTGATGCCCATGACTGAGGACATCCTTGGGCAGAACCCACTTGGGACTCACCTTTATGTTTAAGAACCACAACACTTCCAAAGACATGTTCACAGGATATGATTTAACAAAGACAGATTCTGGGAAAGTGTATGAGAAGAGGGCAGGAGCAACCCTAAAGTGTGTTTCCTCAATTAAGAGAGAGTTGAAACAAAGGACTATTGTGGCATGTGCCCTTCTTCCCACTTGTTCAATTTTTCCTATCAAGGATCCCATAGTGGTGGAAAAAATTAAACATAAAAATCAAGGTTCAGGAGAGTTTAACATTCTCCTAGCATATAAAAGCCAATGTCTCTTTCCTTTTTTAATTTTATATATATTTATTTTATATACATATGTAATTCATATATATATATATATATTTATTTATTTAGGTGTACTTGATAGTTTTCACAAATATATAGTAATACTCTCATCAAAAGATGAAAACAGTTCCATCACCCAAGGAGGACACTCTTGGAGCCCATTTGAATGAAACCCCAATATGTAAGTTAACACTAAAAATTAAGAGATTGAATTTCTTTGCTCTTTATAAAAACATACACCTATTACTTTTGTATCCCAGTCTTTCACAACATGTTCTAGAAGTCTAACCATATGGAAATGAAATCTGTGAACAGCAAAAAGTCTATGAGGTTTGTAGATCATGGACTCAAAAGACTTCCAGCCACTCCTGAGGTAAAGACATTGAAAATTTATCATATCTTCTTTACACTAAATTAGAATATTACTGGAAATAATACCCTTTTCCTATAGCTCACCTCAATTATTCATTAGTGATTGCTTCTAAATATCTTTAGCATTTTTTGGTGTTTTCACTGGGAAATCACAGTAGACTTGCATAGATGTCATCCTACTCATAGAATAAACTCACAATGGACTAGAACAGTGCATACGAACATAGGTGTTTCCTTAAATGAAAGGAACTCCATGGTACCATGGTGGACATCTTGTGTCAGTGTGCACAGCAGTAAAATAAACATGTAAATACTATAACATTTTAAATACATGAAGGTAAATAAAAATCCCATCAATGATATTACCAACCAAAACACACCACAAATATCTGTGGCCCAAATCAATACTAGATTTCAAGTTCCAGATAATAATGTCCAAAACCTGACTACATAGTGTATATACAAATTGTTAACCAAATGCAAAAATGAAGGAAATGTCTGTATCTTTCTCTTTATAAGGAATCTTTACTGTTAATCATAGAAATGCAGAATTTTATACATTCCTAATAATACCAAGTTCCTAACATTACCAACAGGGGGAGTATCTCCAACTCTAGATATTTTTTGCTATCACAGGTCTCTCTCCTTTATTTTTTTTAAGATTTTTATTGCGTAATTGGGGGATGGGACAGCACTGGGAAATTGGAGGAAGGGGAACAGACAAGTTGCTGTCCTTTAGTTCTTCAGTCTAGTTGCGGAGGATATTGCTTCACTGGCCCAAGTTGGCACCATCATTGTGCTCTTCCCGGGAGAGGCAGATCAGTCGCTGGCTTCTGGACGGCTGCTCACGGCAGCTGCTGGCCGCTCATGCTGTCTGCTTGGCCACACATGGTAGCCCATGGCAACCCACTGCAGCAGGGGACTGCAGCCTACGCTGTCGCTGGTGACTCACGGCAGCCCAGCTCCAGGTTGAGCTGTTGTTCAGCATCTTAGCTGTAGAGGGCAGTGTCACTGGCCCTCATNTATATATATATTGGGTTGTCGGAAAAGTCATGACGTATTTTTTCTATGTTTTTTGTTGCAAAAGTGTGTCATGACTTTTCCGACAACCCAATATTTATTTTATATACATCTATAATCCAAATATATGTATTTAATTTAGGTGTACTTCTAAGTTTTCACAAATCTATGATAATACTGCCATCAAAAGATGGAAAAAGTTTCATCACCCAACAAGGACACACTTGGTGCCCATTTGGATGAAACCTCAATACGTAAGTTAACACTAAAAAATTGCAAAGATTGAATTCCTTTGCTCTTTATAAAAACTTACATGTATACTTTTTTTTATCCCAGTCTTCCACAACATGTCCTAGAAGGCTAACCATATGCAAATGAAATCTGTGAACAGCAAAATGGGCTATGGGGTTTGTTAATCATGGACTCAAAAGACTTCCAGCCACTCCTGAGGTAAAACAACACTGAAAATGTATCATATCTTCTTTATACTAAATTAGAATATTATGGGAAATAATACCCTTTTTCTGTAGCTCACCTCAATTATTTATTGGATGATTGTTTCTAAATATCTTCAGCATTTTTTGGTGTTTTCACTGGGGAATCACAGTAGACTTGCATAGATGTCATCCTTCTCATAGAATAAACTCAGGATGGGCTAGAGCTGTGAGCACGAATGTAGGTGTTTTCCTAAATGGAAGGAACTCCATGGTGTCATGGTGGATATCTTGTGTCAGTGTGTACAGCAGTAAAATAAACACGTAAATACTATAACATTTTAAATACATGAAGGTAAATAAAAACCCTTTCAATGACATTAACAACCAAAAGACACCAAAAATATCTGTCGCCCAAATCAATACGATATTTCAAGTCCCAGCTAATAATATCCAAAACCATGACTACATACTATATACAAATTGTTTACCAAATGTAAAAATGACGATAAATGATGAGTGTATCTAACTCTTTATGGTGAATGTTTACTGTTAATCATATGAATGCAGAATTTTCTACATTCCTAACATTACCGAGTTCCTAACATTACCGACAGAGGGGAATATCTCCAATTCTAGATACTTTGTGCTATCACAGGTCTCTCTTCTTAAATCAGAATCTATTCACCAAGTGTCAATCAGAAAGAAAAACAAAAGCAAACAGCCAAATGTAATTATACTTTTTCATTAACTTGACATAAAAAATAACTTCAACTGTTTATTAGCATGGAAAATGGAAAAAGGCTCCTATACCTGTCACTACAAGAGAGGAACTTTGTCAGTAAATAAGACAGGGTACATAGAATGGATGACAGGTATCAAGGAAGTGTCACAAGGCCAGCAGGAAAATACCACAAAATAACAAGCTGTCATTTTTCAAAGGACCCTGAACACAAAATAAAATCTCATTAAAAATTAAATCTAATTACATATTAGAAATACACTTAAATTCACCTATGGATATAACAGGCTCCAAAATGTAAAAAGATAATATGAGTAACTGATTTAATGAAAAATCACTACCTATTAATGTTATGTACTCTTGTTGAAAGACAACGCATAGAATTATCTCACCTCAATAATCATTTCTGAAAGTAAAGTTGACTCTTGAAGAAAAATCCACATATAACAAGACTCATGCAATTCAAACTCATGGTATTCAAGGGTCAACTGCATTTAGAACCGAGGGTTAGAAATCCACTTATACGCAGGCTGGCTTGAGTCATAAGCAGATTTTTAATTGCACGGGTGGTTGGGGATTTTAAAGCCCAAGCTGTTCAAGGGTCAACTACAGCAGAAATCCACATTCCAATAATGCACTTTAAGAAAGGTAGGAAACAGAGTTCATTTTCAATTTTAACAATTTTTTATTTTGAAAGTTTTCTGGAACACTAAACATGAATAATTTCCATCAAACCTTCATAAGTTATTTAGATTTTATTTCTTTTTGGTGGGAGATTTCACATATAGGGATGTGGGCCAATTCAAATCTTTCCCATATTACTTACATTCAAGAAGTTTTATCCAGTGGGTCTTTCCATGCTTATGGAAGGCAGAGGAATGACTGAAGGCTTTTCCACATTGTTCACATTTATGATTTCTAACCAGTGTGCACTCTCACGTGTACTTGAAGGATTTTTTTACGACTGAAGGCTTTTCCACATTCCTTACATTCATAGGGTTTTTCTCCAGTATGAGTTCTCTTATGAATTTGTAAAGAACCTTTATGTCTGTAGGCTTTACCACATTGTTTACATTCATATGGTTTCTCTCCAGTGTGAGTCCTTTCATGTCTTTGATACAAACTAAGGCAGGTGAATGCTTTCCCACATTCCTTACATTGATATGGTGTGTTTCCAGTATGCATTTTCATGTGTCTTCGAAGGGTGGTGCGCCAAGTGAAGGCTTTACCACAGTGTTTACATTCATGGGGTTTCTCTCCTGTGTGCGTCCTCTCATGTATTTGTAAGGAACTGTAATATCTGAAGGCTTTTTTACATTCCTCACACGCATAGGGTTTCTCTTCATTGTGCTTTCTTTCATGTGTTCGAAGATCACTGGGATACTTGAATGTTTTACTACAATTTTTACATTCATAAGGTTTCTCTTCATTGTGACTTCTTTCATGTTTTCGAAGGTAAGGGAGACAACTAAATGCTTTATTACATTCTTTACATATATAGGGTTTCTCAGCAGTGTGATTTCTTTCATGTTTTTGAAGACCACTGGGATAACTGAATGCTTTATTACATTTTTTACATTCATAGGGTTTCTTTCCAGTGTGATTTCTTTGATGTATTTGAAAACTTTTATAACATCTGATGTCTTTCCCACATTCCTTACATTCATAGGGCTTCTCTCCAAAGAATTTTCTTTCATGTTTTCGAAAAGTGTGATGAGTTTTGAAGGCTCTTCCACATTCCTGACATTGATAGGGTTTCTCTGCACTGTGATTTATTTCATGTCTTCGAAGACAACTGGGATATCTGAATGCTTTACTACATTTTTTACATTCATAAGGTTTTTCTACAGTGTGAGTCCTTTTGTGTCTTCGATAACTTTTAAAACATCTGAAAGCTTTCCCACATTCCTTACAATCATAGGGCTTCTCTCCAGTGAATTTTCTTTCATGTTTTCGGAAACTTTGATGATATCTGAAGGCTCTTCCACATTCCTTACATTCATAGGGCTTTTCTTCAGAGTGAATTCTTTCATGACTTCGAAGATAAGGGAGACAACTGAATGCTTTACTACATTTTTTACATATATAAGGTTTCTTTCCAGTGTGATTTCTTTCATGTATTTCAAGACTTTGGTAACACCTTAAGGCTTTTCCACAGTGTTTACATTGATAAGGCTTCTCTCCTGTGTGGGTTCTTTCACATATTTGAAGTGAAGTTGAACAACTGAAGGTTTTCCTACACTTCTTACATTTATAAGGAGCATCTACAGTATGCGTACTCATGTGTCTTTGAAGGGTTTTGAGTGACACGAAGGCTTTCCCATATTCCTTACATTTACTGGGTTCGTCTTCATTGTTATTTTTTTCATGTTTTTCTAAAAATTGAAGATAACTGAACACTCTGCCTAATACCTTATAATTATGTGGTTTCTCTCCGTATTTCTGATACTTAGAGGACTTGTGTCCAGTGTGACATGTGGTGTGCTTATTATGAGATGAATGATGCATGAAGACTTTTCCACACATGGTATATTCCCATGGTTCTACTCTAGGAAGAGTTTTCCTCTTCAAATTGTGATTTGGAATACTGCTGTAGTTTTTCTCACATTGACTACCTTCTTTACTTTCACAGAGTCTCTCTATCTTATGACTTCTGAAAAAAACCAAGAGGCACATTATTAATGACTGCTATAAAACAACAATATGGTTCAAATATTCTAATAAAAATAAAATTGTTAATAAAACGAAGTGTAGGTTTTGTGTCTTGTCTGAATTGTCTGACATTGAATAACTGAATACCCTGCAAGACAAGACTGAGCCTTCCTATTTTCAAAACAGTGAAGTTCATTATAGGCTTTAATAATGTCTCCATGTGAGCTATTTTATAAACACTGAACATCTGTGTCTTATACAAGAAAGTAATTTGGTGAAAAATTTTTCACAAGTAATAAATTTGAAGCAGGTGTTATTTTGGATGCTTCTTTTTAATATTTTGTAGCATACCAGGTTTCTCATGAGCGACAATGCTTTCTATTGTGAATATGACCCACCTTCGTTTTTTCTCCTTGTTTCTGTATTCGTCTTCAATGTCATGATCTTCCCATTCTTTACCTAAAATGCAGACCCAGAACAGTGATCTGAAAGTTTTAGAAATTATACAAAAATCATTAGATTCTAGTTCTGTGATGCACTGTGACCATGCTCAGTTTATTTATCAATGTCCTCCACTTCTACATTTCACATCTTAGAAAAATGCTGATGAGCAAAAAACATTTGGCCTCTAATAACAAGGTGAAAATGACGTTGTCATGCATACCTATTGAGGCCAGGTTCCTGAAGGTTTCCCGCATCACATCTCTATAGAGTTTCTTCTGTGAAGGATCCAGTAAAGCCCACTCCTCCAGGGTGAAGGTCACAGCCACATCTTCAAAGGCCACTGGGTCCTGAAACATCCCAGTATATGTGATTCATGAGACTGACAGCACTGGACACTTTGACTCCATTTACACAAATGTAAGATATGATTATTCCATTTCCAAACATTTATTCTAGGATTTCATCATCAGAAATTTACTGTCTATCCACATTTACTTCCTTATAACACCATTACAAACACATAGAAATTATGCATGTTTACTTTGATCACATTCCACCTTACTTCTCTAACAGCAGTGTTCAGACCATTTTGGAAAAGAACAGATGTGCTACACAAAGAAACAAATATTATTTTAAAACCAACGATTTTCTTTCAGAAAAATTCTTTCATCTCCTTCCTTATTACCCATCATATATAGTACTCCATTAAACAGAGGGTCACATCTGCATGAGGTTTTAATGACTAAAGATATAGCAAAAAACTAGAAGCTTTTTCATCCATTCCCATCACCAAAAACGAAGAGTGCAGGAGGCCTGTGGAAATTCGTCTTTTAACAAAGTTTAGCTTGCCATATTGACCTAAAATCCTCCAGACCATTAGACGTGCAGACATACCTCATTTTATTGTGTTTCACTTTATAGCACTTGGAAGATATTATGTTTTCATCAATATCGAGACAAGAGTCTCCACCAGCAATACGATTATGACTCACTGAAGGCGCAGATGATACATGTACACTGATCCTTTAGACACAATGGTGTTACACACTTAACAGTCTGTAGTACAGTGTAAACAGACGGGATTGTAACCTGCAATATTTCCTAAGTTATGTGCATAATCAGATGCAGCTGACTGAATGAAAATATTCTTACGGGGAAGCGCTGCTTTTGCCTTGTGTGCCATTTATCACAAACCAAGTTCATCCTTTCTCTCTCTGTCCAATTATGGTCTAGAGCATCATTTGGAGCTTACAGCTCAGGGACAAGGATAAGACATGACACCTTAGACTACAATACCGCTAAACTCATGTCTCAGGGCTACTTCCAACCAACTTCTGGTATATATAGGAATGTACACATTGAGATGGTAATATTCTAGAAGTGATTTTTCTAGCAAAACCATTGACAGTGTAAAGTGAGTCCTGCTGACACTGAGGAACAGGTTACAAGCAGAAGATTACAAGAAAGTTCAGTGACAGTCACAGTGGTTTGATGGTGAATTTGTGCATGGTTATACAATACCTAAGGTGTCAGCAGTGGTTTCCTCCAAGAGAACATGCTATTGCTATTCTCCAATTAGGAGGAAGTGTTCCTGAGCAGTCACTCTAGAGCAGCGGTTCTCAACCTGTGGGTCGTGACCCCTTTGGGGGTCAAACGACCCTTTCACAGGGGTCGCCTAAGACCATCAGAAAACAAAAAGATATTTACATTACGATTCATAACAGTAGCAAAATTACAGTTATAGAGTAGCAACGAAAATAATTTTATGGTTGGGGTCACCACAACATGAGGAACAGTATTAAGGGGTCACGGCATTAGGAAGGTTGAGAACCGCAGCACTAGAGGAAAAACAGCAGAAGAATGAATGAGCGAACTGGAAGACAAGATAGTGGAAACTGCACAATTTGAACTCCAGCAAGGTAAAAAGTTTTTTTTAATAAGGACACTTTCAGGGACATCTAGGACAACACTGACCATAGTAACATTCGCATCACAGAGTGTGAAGAGAAAAAGAAAGGGACAGAAAACCGCTTTAAAGAAATAACAGCTGAAAACTTCTTTATAATGGTAAAGGAAACACACATCCCTGTCAGGAAGCACAGAGTCCCAAAGAAGAGAAACACAAACTGAAGCACGCCAAGACACATCACAATTAAAATGCAAAAATGTTAAAGATAAAAAGAGAATCGAAAAAGCAGCAAGAGAAAAGCACCTACTTACATACACAGGAACAGCCCCAGGATTATCAGCTGATTTTTCCACAGAAGCTTTGCAGGCCAGAAGGGAATCACATGATATATGCAAAGCCATGAAAAGGAAAACATACAACCTGGAATACTCTATCTTCTGATAAGGTTAACACTAAGAATTAAAGGAGGGATAGGGTTTTCCAGATACAAGAAAACTAAAGGAGTTCATTACCATTAAAATGGCACTACAAGAAATGTTAAAGGGACTTCTTCAATCAGAAAAGACCAATACTAAAAATAAGACAATGTAGGAAAGAAAAAAATCTCACAGGTAAAAGCAAACATTTAGTCAAAGTAGTACATCAACTAATTATAAAGCTAGTATGACGGTTAAAAAGCAAAAGTAGGAAAATCATGTGTATCTAAAATAACTAAGTGGCACAAACACATAATATATAATATATGACATCTAAACATAAAATTTGTGTATGGAAGGTGCATAAAAAAATGTAGTGCTTTTAGAATGTGTTCAAACTTAAGGGACCATCAACTTAAAATAGACTACTGTAAACATATGCTGTTATATATGAAGCTCATGGCAACCACAAACCATAAAGTTATGATACTCAAAAAAAGAAGAGAAAGGAGTCCAAACATAACACTAGAAAGTCATCAATGCACAAGAATAAAAGAGTAAGAGGAAAAAAAGCAGAGAAGAACTATAAAACAACCAAAACCAATTAACAAAATGGTAATAAATACATACCTATCAACAATTAACTATAAATGGACTAAGTGCTCCAATAATAAGACAAAGTGTGTCTGGATAAAAAAAAAACCCAGATCTAAAGACACACACCGACTGAAATGGAAAGAATTGAAAAAGATATTTCATGCAAATGGAAATGAAAAACAACAAAAAAAGGTAGGGTGGCAGTACATATATCACAATAAATACTTTAAAACAAAGTCTGTAACTAGAGCCCAAGAAGAACATTACATAGTAAAAGGATCATTCCAACAAGATATAACACTTGTAAATATCTATGCACCCAACATAGGAGCACTAAATACACAAAGCTAATATTAACAAATATAAGGGCGAGACTGACAGTAACATAATAATAGTAGATAACACAGACCGCTTACATCAATGGACCGACTACCCGGAGAGAAAATCAACAAAGGCTCATTGGCCTCAAATTGTCCAACAGAACACATTTGACCAGGTGAACTTAATAGATATACACAGAATATTTTATGAAAGACAGTGGAATACACATTCTTTTGTGGTCCACATGGAAAATTCTCCAGGATAGATCACATGTTAGACACAAAACAAATCTCAATAAATTTAAAAATACTGAAATCCTACCAGCATCTTTTCTGACCATAATGGTATGAAACTAAAAATCAATAAAAAGAAAGAAACTGGAAAAAAACATAAACATGTGGAGGCTAAAATACATGTTATGAAACAATCAATTTGATTTACAAAAATAAATCAGACAATATGAAAAAGTATCTTGAGACAAATAAAAATGGAAACACAATGTTCCAAAACAAAATAAGTTTCTAAGAGGGAAGTCTCTAGGAATACAAGTCCACCTGAGGAAACAAGAAAAATCTCAAACAACCTAACCTTATATTTAAATGAATTAGAAAAAGAACAAAGCACAAAGTTAGTAGAGGGAAGGAAACAATAAAGATCACATGAAAATAAAAAAATTGAAAACGTCAATGAAAGTAACAGCTGGTTCTCTGAAAAGACAAAAAAGTTGATAAACAGCTACACTGAACAACAGAGACAGGGCCCAAATAAATACAATCAGAAATGAAAGAAGAGAAGTTATAACAGACATCACAGAAATGCAAAAGATCAAAAGAGAATACTACGAACAGCTACACACCAATAAATTCAACAACCTAAACACCTGAAACTAATTAAAAAAAAATTGGACAACCTAGAAGATATGGATAAATTCCAAGAAACATGCACTCTTTCAAGACTGAATCAGGAAGAAACAGAGAATCTGATCAGATCCATTATTGTAACAAGACTAAATCAGGAATCAAAAAACTCCCAACAAACAGAAGTCCAGCCAGACAGATTCCCAGGAGAATGCTACCAAATACCTAAACAAGAACTAATGTCAATATTTCTCAAACTAGTCCAAAAACTGAAGAGAAAGAAATGCTTCCGAACTCATTCTACAAGGCCAGCATTACATGATAACACTAGAAAAAAAAGAAAATTAAAGACCAATATCCCTGATGAACCTAGATGCAACAATCCTCAATAAAACATTAGCACATTGAGTTCAACAACACATTAAAAGTATCATAAACCATGATCAAGGGGAATTCACTACAGGACTGCAAGGAAAGTTCAATATCCACAAATCAATCCATGATATACCACAAAAAAATAAGTATCATATCATCTCAATAGAATCAGAAAAAGCATCCAACAAAACACAACATAAATGAATGATAAAAACTGTCAGCAAAGTGGGAAGACAAGGAACATATCTCAACATGAAAAAGGCCATATATAGCAAAGCCACAGCTAATATCACACTTAACTGTGAAAAGCTAACTGCTTTTCACCTGTGATCAGGAAAAAGATGAAGATGCCCACTCTCACCACTTGTATTCAACATCCTATTGGAAGTCCTAACCATAGCTATCAGACAAAAAAAAAAAAAGATATTCAAATTGGAAAAAAGTAAAACTCTGGATATTTAAAGATAACATGATACTGTATGTAAAGAACCCTGAAAATTACAAGAAGAAAAAAAAAACCACGATCAAAACATATACATGAATTCAATAAAGTTGCAGGATATGAAAATAATATGCAGAAATCAGTGGTGTTTCTATACAATAATAACAAATTCTCAGAAAAATTAAGAAAACAATCCCATTTATAATTGCATCACACCCAAAAAATACCTAGGAAAGTTAATCAAAGAGGCAAGGTACTGTACTCTGAAAACTATAAGGCATTGATTAAAGAAATTGAAGGTGATACAAATAAATGAAAAGACATGTAATGCACATGAATTTAAAAAATACATTTAAAGTTCTATACTACCCAAAGCAATCCACAAATTCAACACATCCCTACCAAATCGATAATAAAATTTTTCACAGAA